TATATGTATGTATATGTATGTATATATATTTATATGTGTGTGTGTATATGTTCTGTGTGTGTGTGTGTGTGTGTGTTTATCTATCTATCCATCTGTCGCACATACACATACGCACTACATATGCACACATAGATACATTTATATACATGCTTGTGTGTGCTGGTTTTAGAGTATTTATGTATATAAAAGATTTGTATGTATGTCCATTTTTGTGGAACTTGTCGCTTTTGGACCAGCGGCAATTTTCCGCAAGTTATATGGCTGTCTTTTGATGCATTCGCGACTGAACACTATTCTTCAAGTAAATTCTCTAGAAGAGCAAGCATCAGACAGTCATACAAATATATTTTCAGTGTTTATACTGACTATTGTTCAAACCTACTTGAGATGTCTCAATGGACGAGCGGATTCGAATGCAGCTCGGATACAATAAAAAATGAACCCCCTCAACCCCAACCCAAGTGTGTTTGCGTCGCATTTTGTTTAGTACTCTTTTGGTTTTATGTAATTTTATTCATTAGTTGTAATTAATAAACATCTGTCTTGCGTTCAGTTCAGAATCTCTTGTCGAGGTTCTGCGCACAAAGTCCATCAATGTGCCTTCAGGTTTTGAGCACAAGCATCCATCAGCAAAAGCTAAGCAGTCGATAGTCCTTTGAGAAGCAGGAAGTCAAGTGGTAATCTGTTTAACCGCTCTTATAAGCACCGAAAGTGATCTAAGTCCTCATGCACATACCTGCAAAGTACTTTTCACAGCTTCCCGTGCCGTAAAAGACATGTATTCAGTCGCCAACTGTGTTCCAATGAACACTCGATAATGAAACCGCTTACCACAAGGTATATGTCCCACCCCTCCCTTGTATCACCTAATCCAGCACTTTCGTCTTTCTTGCTTCATCTCTACTCCACGCATGCTGGTGATATATAGTACTTACAAGCTGCTTCTCGGGGCCAACTTTCCAAGATCGGCGAAAACCATGCCATCCACATTTTCCAAACGCTGTGCAACGAAAGCATTTAGTACTTCATGACCGATTTACAAAGCGCGTGCTCGTGCTGTTGTAGGTGGGTGTATTAGAGGAAGTGTTGTATCTGTAGTTATTTCAAATAGATTCATAGAAAGTTGGAGACTCCCGCTTATGCCAAGAAAGCGGCCGCTACTGCGACCACAGCCATTGAAGCCACAGACACTGAAGCGGTTGTTGCGCTGTTCGAGTTGCCGGCTCCTGGGTCGGTAGCCTTGGCCGAGATCTCATCCGTACGTTTCATAAGGACAGACTTGACGTTGTGGCAGCCTACGCAAGGTACACACGATGCATCTATGTTGGATCTGATAAACGCTACTTCCAGGTCGCGATCAAACTCTTCTGGATAGTACTCGCACTCCTTCAAAGTTGCGAATAGTAGTGCTTCGTTGTCTACGTGACTCTTTCGCACATAACTGTATGTAGATGCAGAGCCCGAGGTCACCTGAATACAATCGCCAGCGGCTAGTACGTGGTTAGTCATCTGCACCTCATTCTTACAGTCGTCTTGCAAGTAGAAGTGGGCCTCAGTATTGGTGGCAGAGACTGCGATGGCGCTTGCGGCCACAATCATTGATACGAATCCAGTCTTCATTTTGAGGTTTGGAAATGATGTAGGATTTCTTTATAAAAAGATGGTATGTATCTCACGTCTGCAGGTGTCGAGAGTGAGTTAAAGTTTTCTCTACTGAAAGCATATATAACAAATTGAACAGGAACTGTCGTATGCTTGACATTGCAGAAACCGTTCTAAACAATCTCACAGTCCTGCTATTGTATAACTGAAAACTTGATGAATCCTGAAAATGTATTGGACGACCCCGTAGTAACGAAACCTGACTGGCGCATTCGTATAGATCTGTCATATCGTGAAATATGACTTCTCTGGACTTAGTTCTGTAGAGTGTAGTGGCCTATTCTACTCTCTCTACTATAGAGTGAGAGATTAGGATTTGGGTGTCTGACTGCCCGGGTCTCTGAGACTTGGGTCCCTGCCCCGGTGCCCCCAGTACCACTTCCCTGAGGCCTGAGCCCTGAGCCCTCAGGCCTCAGCCCTAAGCCCTCTCACTCTCAGGCCTGGCTGCTGCCCTCCACCAGGCTCCCTTTCACTTAGTTTGGGACCTCAATTTTGAGTTTATCAGGGTATATTTTTAGAATTGCGCTCTATTGTTGCTGAGAAGAAACAAGTGGTGGATAATTAAAAAATAACAGACGGATAACGTCCAAATTCAACTAGTTTGTACCATATGCGTTTATTTTACAAGGTACTACGATTGTTATCAATGTTATGAATATTATCGATGGTGTGATATGGTGTTTACGAAATGACGCAGTATCGCAGACTGCCGCGTCCCCTCGTGACTTGTGACTTATGACTTGTGACTTGTTACTCGTGTGTGTATGTTCGGCTCACACCACATACCGATGCTAATGTTCGCAAGCTGCTTCGTTTATTTACACACAGCTGAATAGGCCACTTTTAGTATTCTAGCATTACTTTGATTCATTTCTGGGTCCCGTTGTGCTTGTACTGTATATGAAAATCGATAGGGGCTGGAACAGGACACGTCTTACATCTTTATATTTTGGTTGGAGGATTTTAAAGGCAAAGACCGTGCATCGCTACAACTTTTGGCCATCTCCGTGATGGGGGTGCACACCACTGACTTCCCAGTACGTGTTTCATATAAATGCAAAATATCTATTGTATAAAAAGGCTTAATTTCCCTACTTTCCTTGAGAATTCAAATCTGAGCACGAACAGAGAAGGTGAGCCATATACACTGCAACGAGATTATAAATTTAAAAGTTATGCTAAAATAGCATGCACCATCGCTGATTCAGTATATTTCTATATTTTGAATCACAAGACTATAAAGAGTGTACACCAACATGTATGACGTCTTTTCTTAGCACTTTTTATTAACTTTCGTATTTCTGCCATGAGTGTTCAAAGTCGGTATCAACCTGTATGACGAATCAAATGCAGGGGATCTTGTCGGACTTGCAGTATACTGGACACAAACAAGCTGTGCAACGTGAAGCAACAGAGCTCTAAAAAGAACCTCTATCGTACTACAACACAGAATATTCACTTCAAGTTGAACCCAAAATAGGTAGTCGCAGCTGTGCACACAAGGTCGACATGCTCCACAGATGATGTCGACACAAAAGAATAGTTGTCGCATGTTAGGTTGAAACAAGTTTATTGAATCCAATAGGGATGAAATCAGGAAGACAGGCTGTGAATCCATGGTATATCCTAATAATTGATGTAACTTGATAGAAATAGTGTTGAGTCTCTTTTTAAGTCTACGAAAAGCAGTCCAGTCTTTGGACCACTCTCGGCTACTCTAGCACAGAGAAAAGTGCTTAATCCAGACAATTTGATAACAAATATCATCGTTGAAGAAAATATTTTAAGCGTCCAGGCTGACCGATGCGGCAAGCGCCTTCATCATACCCGGAAATGGCCAAAAATCCCCGACATCCGATATTGATTTATAAAGAGAATCCGCACGCCCGATAATTGAAGAAGACGACGACATTTGCTATGTACATAAAGACGGCTTCCAGAAACGTATACACTGGAAGACAATCTTAAAGCGGCGCGGGGACGTATCTGTGAGCTCACGGAGATACAAATACGCTTGATGCGAAGGTCGACCCTCTTAAATTACAATTATTTAGGCAAACAGGGCGGTGATGGCGGCCGCTGCAACAGCAACGAGTACCGAAGGCGCGGTGGCACCAGCGGCTGACATCTTCGATTCAGTGGTTGTATCAAACTGTACAGACTGTATGTTACCACATTTGTAGCATGGCGTGCACTCGTCCATAGTGGTGGCACGGATGAATGGTACAGGTACAGTGCTGTCGGCTGTGTATGCTTCACATGCAGCTTCGTCAATGAACAGAATTATTTCATCTGAACGATCGGACAGCTTGATGTAGTTGTATTCGTTATTGGCCCACTCCGTGACTGTAAGCGTGGGGTTAGAGATCTTAGAACACGTCTTTGCGTCGTTCAATACACTTTGGCTCAACTCGAGCTTCTCTGTGCATCCAGCGCCCTGGAAGAGGTGCACCTTGGTGGCTAGAGCCTGAGCTGCGATAGCAGTAACTAGAAGTATAACCCTCATGATTTGATATTTCATGTCTATCCAAAAAACGAAGAGTGACTATGAGACTGTCGAGCTCGCGGTATATGGCCAATTCGAGCTGAAACTTTGGAATCGATTTCTAAATTTTCAATCGTAGCGCGCCACCGGTTTGCGGCTCATCAAGCATCACAGCAAACAAGTTATTTTCGTTGTCAAGCTGGCTTGAAACATGTGTTATTCCCATTGGTGAATGGTTGCTAATTTTTGTCTTTACTTCCAATTGTTCCTGAGATACGAAAATTTATTCAATTTTTTATTCAAATATGAATAACATTTTTATCAAGAATACCCCGCGATATCACAATCTTGAGAAATAATATTCCCATGTTTGAACTTTGAAGTATAGATGTACCACACAAGTAACATGAATATATGCATATAGTGCTTGCTGATGGAACAGCAATGAGACATAGTGCTCGTCTAGCTGCTTTTTTGCAGTTTCTACATTCTGTCTTCACATGCTTGCAATATATTTGACATAGGGTGCTTGAACTACGCAATTGATAAGTGCGATGGCCTCAGAAAAAAAAAGCAGGCTGTTGGTTGGGTTGAGACTGTATGCATACATTGTCATTCTAGGATTTATTTGTCAGAGGGATATTGCTGCCGTTTCATCAATCATACATATATGTGGTCACCGCGTGATGTAGCGATGCGAAACAAAAATATGAAGCATAGTCCACGTATTTGTTGGTTGTGTAAAGTGTCCTAGGTGAAGTATAGCAAGCAGGAATACAATTAGATATAAACGTAATAGCATTGAATAAATAAAGCGAATGGCACGCTTGATTAGTAGTTAAGTCCATTTAGATCTCAGTCCGGGAGATGCAACCCATTTTGCCGACTTGTCTCTTCTGAGTGTATTATCAATCTAAAATTGTTTTGAAATATATGCACAAAAGTCATGTCCCCTTGAGCCTGTGGCAGACTTAGGAACGATCGACAGAAGCGGAAGTCGTGTGAATATGATTAGTAATAAACAATAGAATACATTTCTACCATGACTTGTACATACCTTCGGTCCCACCGAATAGCATAGTTATTGTTCCAGATCACACATTATAATTAAGTCACCTCGGATCGTTTCGCGCACTGGGTGATCAAAAACAACCCGTGGGGGGAGTTCATACCATGACAAGTAACTACAGTCCACGCTCATGAATTTTCTTCCATCTTGTGAAATTTATTGCCCTTGTGATGCGCCGCCCGTGCCAAACTAAAATGTGCGACTTTTTCAGCAGCACTTTATATCTAGCTAAATTAAAGCAGTTTCCGAGATATTAAAGCCTCATTCATTCTACGCCCTACTGAGACGATGATTTCCTATCCTACAATGTAACTAATAAAAGCGAAGCTTGCTTCCCCAGTTTGAAACCGATTCCACTCTATATAAAATTGATAGGTAAATTGACGTGTAGTATTCCACTAAAATATCGCAGAACAAAATGCGAAATAAAAATACACGAGCAGATAGCAGCACACTACTCAACTTTAGGCTCACATTGCAGTCTGATACTTCCAACCCCAAAAAGTTTTGCATCAGTGAAATGTGTACAAAGTAACTGGTAAATTTACTTCTAAACTTTACGTGTAGCAATCAAATACAAAAGTTTGCAGACTACGATGCATAGTAAAATATATATGAGCATACAGCACACTACTAAAACAATGGACTAAATATCACAGTCCGACGCTTTAAACCCAAAATTCTTTGTATTGCATCGCTAAGAAGTGTACACGACCCTCGCAACTCATTTACAATTAGATGAACAAGTCTTTCTATGTCCACACAGCGATTGGTTGAAGTACTCCAAAAGATGGTAGAAAACACGATTTATTTCTCGGGCACTAACTGTCTAATATTTACTGTTGCTCAGGCATGAAACGGATGATATCAGAATCTCCAGCATCAGTGATACTAAGAACAGAGCAGCGGTAGTACTTACCACATGCAGTTCCAAGATCGATCTGTTAGGTAAAATAAATGAATATAATGAGAACTACAAATTGAACTGAAGAACGAATATTCTGTTCGTAACGTAAAAAAATCATCAAATTGAGAGTACTTTGCACACAAAAACACGAAACGAATATGGATTGACTCAGACAGCCAAGGTGCAAATCAACATAGCCGGCAAGGCATATCAGCCGAAATAGTCGCGAAACTGCATGGTATATCATCAGTAACAATCCATATTCTTCTCATAGTTTATCCAAAACTAATCACAGCTTGTGTAGAATAGAAAAAGCGCATATATATATATATATATACATACATATACAAACACATATACAGACATATGTGTATGTATGTATACAAATATGAATATATATATATACATGTAAATTACATTCATGTAAATATATATACATGCAAATGTATATACATGTAAAAATACATAGAGATATAAGATATATATACATATATATATTTGTATAATATATATATATAATACCTGCATGAATACATACCAGCATATTTATTTACATACCAGCATATTTATTAACATACATACATACATGCATACACGCAATACTATATATTCCTAAACGCACGCACATGTATGTGTATATCTATATATGTATATGTGTATACTATTGATGTATTATATATTATATATATATATATATATATATGTATTATATACATAAATACAAATATACATATATATATAATATTGATGTATTATATATTCATTACATATATATATGTATTATACATATACACGTATACATATATATGTATAATATATTCATTGTATATATACGCATTATACATATATACATAATTGATGTGCTATATATATTTATATTTTTGATATATATATTATATATTTATATGTACTATACATATACATATATACATGTGTGTGTGTGTGTGTGTATATATATAGATACACACATATACATATACATCTATATATATATGTGTGTGTGTGTATGTATATATACACACGCATATATATATATATATATATATATTAATATATTTATATGTATATATATATATATATATACACGCACATATATATATATACATCTATATATATATCCATGCATTTTTCTATTTACGTGTATGTGCGTATACATAAATATACATACATATATATGCATGATATATACATATACATATACTATATATATATATATATATATATATATATATATATATATGATGCAGTTATATATATATATGATGCAGTTATACATGATATTTATACATACATTCATCTATATCTAAAAAATATACTGTTATTAAATATATATACATGTTGATATATAATACATTTATGGATGTATAAAAAACATGTATATATATGTAACCCTCTACACATAAGCTTACAAGTGCTAACTTTAGAAACGCAAACGCAGATAGTGTTTGAGATTAATAATGAGACAAGCTACTTACGTTGGTTCCGTGGTAGTGATGGATACCGGTCTTGCTCAACATGGCGTAGTACTCGATCTCACTCTTGCGAACAGCGGGGCAGTTCGATGAAATGATGATCAGCTTGGACTTTCCCTGTCAGATAAGTAGAGGAACACATGCGACACAAAAGAATATGAATATGGGCGAGTGTCGCATCTCAGTAACACATTTGTGCCTCCGCGACGACTCCTATACATTGCACGCAAGCCAGAAATTTATCATTAGTTCTATTAACATTAATCTGTGAGGAACACTTACGGATCGAAGAGTCTTTAGGGTTGACTTGTATCCTAGAGTGTACTTTCCACTCTTCATAACAAGACCGAGACGCTGGTTAAGCGAATCCAATCCCTTGGAGGACTTCTTGGGTGCCATCGTGTCTAGAGAGATCCGTCTGTATGACGCGAGATTCAAATTCGGTTAGTTAGATGCCGCTATGTCGATACTTCACGATCGCTGTACTTTAATTCAAATGACTTTATCCCAATTTACATAGCAAAATAACTCCACTTACGTTAACAAAAGGTCTAAAAGGACGATTAGACGCTTCCGGCTGTTCGTTATAATGGCCCCCTTGTTACACAATTTTTTGTTGATTGTTGAATCCCACACGTGCATTGCAGGTCAGGACACACTCTCGTACTCCACTAGGGGAGAGAGAGTAGTGTAGGAAGATACATTTACAAAATCACTCGAAATGTAGGTATTTTATTAGAACTTGTATATTACATATTTTGAGTACCGAACATATTTGAGTGATTTTCTGGCCTTGTGGATATTGGATAACCTCTAAATAATCATATTTAAATAAATATTCCGCTCTGGAAAACGGACTATCGTCCGTACGGGGTAGGGCCGTAGGCCGTAGGCCCTGATATTACATATTTACATACAATTGTTCATTTTTGTTTTTTTTTAAGCAAAAATATCTTTTTACAAAATATAAAACAATAGAAAACATATTTTTAAGACCATCGGAACTCAGAATTGATGACCACATTTTCATCAAATTATTTTTACTTTTACACTTTTGTTCACCAAAACACACCAAAACACACCAAAATACACAATCAATACACTCACACACACATATACGCGCGCATGAGCTTAGATCATATAGCATGAGAAGTGAGCTTAGATCATATAGCATGAGAAGTACAAGGGTCGCAACTAGAAAGGAGGGTGTACTCCGATAGACATGTATATGTGAATTGCAGACATGTCTAACTATAACTTCTCGTAAGATAAGACTACCGTTGAGTGATAAAGCTCGTGCTCGACGATTGGTTAGAATATTACAACCTAATGTTAATAAGGAAAACTGGTAGTGTAAACTCAGCACAGTAATGTTTATATTAATGTATGGTACTTTCCAATTCATCATCTAGTGAATAGAGGTAATTGAATACACGCAGGCCCTGATGCTTTACTAAAACTTACCCATCATTGGGAATCTGATCGTGCAATCTTAAAAAATTTGTACAAGGCGAGCATGCGAGAGTGCAATGTATATGCACAAACGACGATGACGTATGTGGTGAAAAATTGCGTTATGGTGGATGCTTTTTACTACCCTGTGGTTTAAATAGCAGAAAACGAGAGTTGGCTTGGGTGGACATTTTAGTGCGCGATCCAAGAATAGGAAAGCGCCCTGTCGCCGTACACTACGTGAGATACATGTGAATACATTGATGCAAACAGTGATTGTCACACACAAACCAACTATATTCAAAAATACATGTAAAGAATGCTAAAAATGCCTTGGCGAGAAGGAATTCGTGTTAGTAGAGCTGTTATTCGACACTATTGATTATATGGAGAGATGCGACAGCTTACAACTATAGGATCCGGATTGTGTAAAAAGGAGTAAAGCAACACTTGGTGACGATATGATAAAATCTCGACAAGGAAATGACGAAGACGAACACCAGTCGTCATAAAGTTCGACTAGCAGCTTCGTTCCAGGTAGGCCAACTGACACTCGTGTATTATCACCGTTCAAGCTGTTTGTTTTCTTCCTCTACATGCTACGTATATGCGTGCGAAATTACCTGAAGCAGCTGGCAAATTTTTCATAGGTGAGTCTTCAGCAAGACGGTTATATCCTGCCTGGGTGTTTGCGTATTCAGATATATTCAATTGTATGATGCCTATTGTACTGCTGCGTATTCAAAGGCTGTATTGGCGTCGAGGACAAAGTCTGTACTAGATATTCAGAGTAGTGCTGTTTACAGCGAGGATGCTACAGAAGGAATAATCTAAGACCTGTATGCGCAGTTGTGCCCCCTGCTTTGCATGTAGCATTCCACTCTGTTTACAAAAGGCATGAAACAATATAATTACAGACACATCTTCATATGTATGGCATGTATCTCCAGGATTTCTCTACTCATCTTTCCAGAAGCAAATCGCTTTACCAACTCCAATTTTTCAGCTCGGATAGAAGAGCGACTCTCATTGATGAGCTTTCCCCATCTGATGATCAGAGTGATGCAACCCTCAATGTGAAACAAGAACTGATCCCAGTCTTTGTATAAAACTATGTTTCTTGCCTGTAATGATAAGTGATACCCATACCCCCTATTGTGTCTTTGCAGTCTATATCAATCATATATAAACGCACATAGCGCATTAGGTCTTTCACCCCCAACGCGATGCCAACGCAATAAAAACTTACTAGTACAAAACCTATTTGAAACTGCCTATTACAATTGATTCAATGAGATATTTTGAACGAGCACAGTTTATTTGGTTTATAAGGAATGAAATGTGATATGGACAGTATTATAGGTTGTATGTACGCACGCCAAAAGAGTGTGTGTGTGTGTTTTTCTTGGTGTGTTTTGGAGAACAATAGTGTAAAAGTAAAAATTATTTTATGAAAACGTGGTCATTAGCTCAGACGGTCTTGAGATTTGTATTTCAACTGATTTTCTCCATGGTTCGAGACTCCGAGGCTAATCGTTCCCGTCGGATTCGTGAAATTTAGCAGTCACAACTCAATCCGCTACAAACTTTGGGTGGGGTGGGGGGTTCTTTCGTTCAAGTGGGAAGAAAAAATCATTCAATTCAATACGTTAAGAACTTGGGTGGGGGGGGTTCAAGTGGGAATTGTTCAGTCGGAGGTTAATCGTTCCCGTCGGATTCATGAGATATAAACGTCACTCGTTCCCGTTAGAATCGTAACATTCAAAAACGTTATTCGTTCTCCTCGGATTCGTAAATTTAAGGGACGAAACGCTATTCCTATGGCTAGATGTGCATCCATCATATGTCATACTACGACCAATGATGGACAACTCAGCGGCTACTATAACACGTACGCTGGTACCAACCATGTGTGATCATGGATTCCCACAAATCATACAGACTGATCAAGGCATTGAATATGTTAACGATCTAATTCCAAAAGTCGTTGAATAAGCGCCGACATAACACCTAGTCTATCGACTGTGCCAACCTAAAGTCGTAGGCGCGAACGAACGATCACACAGTGACCTCATACCACTGTGTAATAAGCCGGGCCTCCACATTAGACTATGTTATAAACGTACTCTTAAGAAGTACGTAATTATGAACGTCATCTTAATTGTACGAGGAACTTAAGTTTCCTGAACGTACTCTTAATAGGGATAATATTATTTATTTTGTGTAATAAGCCGGGCCTCCACATTAGACTATGTTATAAACGTACTCTTAAGAAGTACGTAAATTATAAACGTCATCTTAATTGTACGAGAAACTTAAGTTTCCTAAACGTACTCTTAATAGGGATAATACTATTTATTTCAAAAATGGCAAGTATGTATGATACAATGTATGAACATATGGTATGGCTCTCAAAGTAGCTGTAGTGGTTCAGGAAAGATTGATGGGAAGAAGACGAGGAACTTAAGTTTCCTAAATGTACTCTTAATAGTACGAGGAACTTAAGTTTCCATAAATGGTTTTTAATAGTTTTATTAATTAATACCTTTTCCATTTTATATTTCATATATTTGGACGAGGCCATTCAAAGGCCTTAATAAAATACCAAACATAAAGAGTTGGTCTAGTTCTATTAATAGAACTTTATTTGCTTTGCAATTTTATTTATATCTGAATACTTCGATAATGCAGACGTTTGACCCTACAGGTACCAGTTATCTGATCCTGCAGCGACACCAGCATGAGCTAAACGCTTGTCGCGACTGGCCAGCTGTGTGTTGGTTGGTCACATCCTTGTTAAGTAAGGGTATGCGTAGCCCTGGGCTGAGTTCAATTTTAAATGAACCAGCTGCGAACACGCCCATTCAGAGTTATATTCTGAAATTAGACGCTGACTTGAAACGTCCAGATATAACAAAGGACAAGGCACGGCGATGGTACGAATTCCTGGTTATGCGCCTGTTCTGTAAGAACATAGGGAATAACGACCGTGAGAACCTGTACACCGAGTTGCGACGTAAACACGCGACTGAGGCTCGCGACAAGGGACATGAAACAAAGTTTCATCTATCCCGACTTACGTGGGAACAGTTTTATGATACTGTATACACCCTTTTTCCCGCACATCGAGTAACATCGAGGGAAAATCGGCTGTTAAGAAGCCGCGGGAGCACAATGATCACGGGTATGTATCCAGGCAGACCTCAAACGAGAGACCTCAACATATACGTGCTCGCAAATCCACTTTATCCGCGCGACCCAATAAACGGGCACGCGCAGGAGCGAAGGAAATGGAACCTACATTTAAGGAGATTAATAAATGTGCCGACGCACAGTGTGGGTATGACATGTACCAGTTAACCCCTAACGGTTATTGGAACGGCAGACATGCATCCACCTATACACACTTTCTTACTAAGTGTGACAAGTGTGAGAAGACCAATGGCTATCACACTAAGTCTTGTGACCGAAAGCCCAACATTAAGTTGGAATGACGGTACTACCAGGTACAATCGTTACACAGACAATACAACGACTCTTTAGATGAACGTGTAATAATCCCTGTATATTACAATGGAAATAAAATCCTTGCGTTGATTGATCCTGGTTCAGAAATTTCATGTATATCCGATCGCTGTGTATTAATGAAAGATATCGAAAGGAGAACACAAACAACTCACCTCATTTTAGCTGATGATAAAACTG